CCAGCCACACTAGTGGAAACCCATAAGTGTGGACCAATAGCTGTGGAGCCCCCTGGATAGGTGAGACAGTTGTTTAGCTTGAACTGTTTAGAGGGGCCTCCGGCAGGGGCATTGGGATCCATTCCTGATGCATGAGCAGGTATATTGGAGCTCAGTGCCTGAAGTGGGACACCTTGGGCAGCTTTGATGCAGGGAGAGGAGCTCAGACCTGCCTCAACTGAATGTACCAGGCTCTACTGACTCCCCATGGGACTCCAGAAGAGTTGGAGGAGGTGGGAATGGGGGTAGGGTTGTGAGGGAAGGCTGGGGGGCAGAAAGAGGGAGGAGGGGGGGAATCTGTGGTTGGTAAGTAAAATGAATAGAAAATTTCTTAATAATAAAAAAATAAAGAAAAGTTTTTACAGTTCATTTTCTGAGGCCACAGTTACCCTGGTACCCAAAAGACATAAAGGTTCCACAAATAAAGAGAATTACAGACTAATTTTCCTTATGAATATAGATGCAAAAATAAAATACCTGTAAACCGAATTTAAGAACACATCAAAAGATCATCCACCATGATCAAGTAGGCTTTATCCCAGAGATTCAGGGATGGTTCAATATATGAAAACCAGTAAATGTAATTGACCATATAACAAACTGAAGGACAAAAACACATGATGCAGAAAAGGCCTTTGATAAAGTCCAGCACTCCTTCATGATGAAAATCTTGGAGAGATCAGGAATACAAGGAACATACCTCAATATAATAAAGGCAGTTTAGAGGAAGCCTGTAGCCAACATCAACTTAAATGGAGAGAAACTGAAAGCAATTCCACTAAAATCAGTAACAAGATGAGGTTGTCCTTTCTCTCCATACCTATTCAATACAGTACTTGAAGTCTTAGCTAGAACAATAAGACAACTAAAGGAGATCAAGGGGATACAAATTGGAAAGGAAGAAGTCAAAGTATTGTTATTTGCAGATGATATGATAGAATACAAAAGTGACCCCCAAAATTCCACCAGGAAACTCCTACAGCTGACAAACACTTTCAGCAAAGTAGCTGGATACAAAATTAACTCACAAAAAATATGTAGCCCTCCAGTATACAAATGTCAAACAGATGAAGGAGGAAAACAGGGAAATAGGACCGTTCACAATAGCTTTAAGTATTATAAAGTATCTTGGGGTGACTCTAATCAAGCAAGTGAAAAATTTCTGTGATAAAATTTTAGGACACTGATGAAAGAAATTGAAGAAGATACCCAGAGATGGAGAGATCTCCCATGTTCATGGATCAGTAGGATTAATATATTAAAAATAGCCATTCTACCAAAAGCAATCTACTGATTCAAAGCATTCCCCATCAAAACTGTAACACAATTCTTTACAGGACTCTGAAGAACAATTTTCAGTTTCATATGAAAACAGCAAAAAAAAAAAAAAACAAAAAACCAAAAAACCCAGGCTAGCTATAATAATAAGAATAGCACTGTATTGGCATAAAACAGACAGGTTGATCAACTAAATCAAACTGATTGAAGACCCAGGTATAAATCCATACATCTATGGACACCTGAATTTTTTTTAAAAAAAGACAGGAGTACTTACTGAAAAAAAGATAAAATCATTAACAAATGGTGCTGGTCAAACTGGATGGGTGCATATAAAAGAATCCAAATAGATCCATACATACCATCCTGCATGAAACTCAACTTCAAATGGATCAAAGACCTCAACATAAAACAAGATACACTGAACGTGATAGAAGAGGAAGTAGGGAATAACTTTGGAGTCATTGGCACAGGAAAAGACTTTCTGAAGAGAACACTGATAGCAGAGATACTAAGGTCAACAGTTAGTAAATGGGACTTCATAAAACTGAAATGCTTCTGTATAGCAAATAACATCATCATTTGAACAAAGTGGTAGCCTACAGAATGGGAAAAGATTTTTTTTACCAACTTCAAAAACAATAGAGAGCTAATATTCAATATATATATATATATATATATATATATATATATATATATATATATATATATA